GACTTGCCATCCTGCTGACTGCCTTCTTAGGCGCCCTACGAGAGCTCTCCCTGGCTCTCATCTCCCCGACAAATCGAGGAATCTCATTTTCTCGGCGCACTGGCTTTGGCTCTCGTTCCCCTCGGAATCCGTTGGGAGATCGCCTTCCGAGTCGTCGATCTCAAACGTGGAAGCCGACGAACAAGAGCAACAGCTGCAACACCAGCAGCAAAGGCAGCAGGCTCCAACACAGAATGCGGAGCAGGCAGCAACCAGGAAACACAACCATAGCATCCAAGACTGGCGCTGCTCATGTTTCCGCTGGAGGCTAAGCAGAGAAACACACTCGATGGAGGCTGCGTTTTCGTCTGTACCCGTGATTCCAAAATAGTTGTGATGGTCTGCCATGGTGCCACCTGGATAAGTGCATTCAGGATCTTCCAACTCCTCCCGGCAGATTATCCACTCAGAATCACCTTTCAGATAGCGGACCGCCCATGGAATGTGACAGTAGCCAAGCCATCTCGGAGGCACTTGCGGTATTAAGTCGAAATCACGCGCCACTCGCCACATCGGCGGCAGCTGTTGCAGGGCGCGGGCAGTTGCCACGAAGACGTTTGCGAAAGCTTCGTTGCCAACGCGTGGCATCCCATAAGTCCACAAGCCTGCATGGCTTTCAATGCACTGTTCTGCGGCGACAAAATGGCAAGGGCAGGAGCATCCGGGCTTCAGCAAAGCCTCTTTGACACAAATGCTGAATGAAGTCCAAGGCGCTGGATGGAAACTGGTGGCAAGCGCGGGCCTCCAGGGCCGCCTGCGTCGCGATGGCCCCACCCAGGGAGTGCCCGCTGAAGACGAGGCTGGGACAGGCCAGCTGACGTACCGCCGCGAAAATCTCGGGCCGTATCTCCTCGTAGGCGGCCGCGAAACCCTTCATCACCTCCCAGTCTTCCGAAGAGAAGACTGTCGGTTAAAGAAGCCAAATCTATGGGGAGCCCCGTGTTTCAAGCAAAAACACGTGCCTTGCAACCGCGACACCATGCAGCCGGGCACCGCGCAGAGGTGCTTCCAGCGCCCCCAGATGGCCAGCTCGTCAACCAAAATTCCAGATCTGCTCGAATGTTCCTGCGAGCTGCAGCAAGTTTAAGTAAGGTGCCGGGTAAACCCTAAACTCTAAACCCTAAACCCTCAACCCTGAATCGCAGCAGGTCCAGGGCTTCCACTGTCCTCCAGTTGTAGAACGACGTACCAGCAATGACGACGAGGCATGAGGCAGCATTCAAGCGAGTTACATATCCGTGCACATTGTACTCGCCCGTCGGGCCAATCAGTATCTGCGAACCATTGTCAAACGACGACAAGGTAGCTGCGCACTCCTTACCGCAGCTCCAACTTTGTATAGCCGCGCCGTCGCAGACAGCCACCGCATTGAAGCGCAAGTACATTTCCGCCTCCCATGGCTTGTACGTAACATTGTGCGTTGATGCAAGAATCAGCAGCGCCGCCGCAGGCGTTCTCCAGACGGACACCATGCCATCCGATCACAACAAAACCTGCAGCCGAACCTTTCGGCTGGCTCGAGCAGCTGCAAGCACATATCGGCGTGATCCATGCTGCAGAGCTGCTATGCCGATCACAGGCTGCTGCAAAGCCCAAGACCTGTAAAACACTCCTCTGCTTGAAAACGGAGCAGGCTGCAGCGTCCAAAATTAAGTAGGTCGATGTTGCCATGACATCTGCAAACGCCACCTGGAAAGAGAGACTGGATGGCCGGGGTCGTGAGCCAAGTGCCGCACCAGCCGCCACACATCTGCCAAGCCACCGGGCCTCAGAAAGGTTGAGTCTACTGAAACCAGGCCAGGGGGCAGCAGGTGTGTTGGTCTAAGTGAATTTATTCTTACCATCCACAAACCAAATTGATAATCGATAATCAGTACTATTCGTCTTAATCGTCGCTTCTGGGACCCTGGGACCCCCATACAAATGATAACAAGTAATGATGGAAACCCGTTTACAACTTGCAACACTCAACGATAGTTTACATAAGATTGCAATGAATCCATGTGTTGTGCTTATACATTCCAACTCCGTCCACACTACGTGCCTCGCAGAGCAGACACTCAATCCTCTTTCTCGTTCGCTCCCATACAGTACACTGTTAGTGCTTTGGTAAAACCACCTCGTGGCAAGCCTTTACTTACAGGAAACAAGGACTCACCACTGTGTGACCAGGCCACTCCACTCGGACGTGCTACACCCGTTCGGTGAAACACACGGGCGTCACTCCCCCAAAACCACGAGATGAGTCGCACTTGCCTCTGCAACCCATGAGGACTCCCCCTAGCGACCGAATCCAAACAAACAGCTGCCCGCCCCGTTTTGGAACACACCTGAACCAAGATGCCATGCAGCACGGAGATTAGAACCATATATGTGTGCCCATGCCTGCCAAACACGGCACATGGTAATTGTTTGTCAAGTGTTCTCGATTGTTACTACTTGTTCTTAAAAAGTTTGGCTCTGAAGGCACCGTGCTGCATCTCTAGCGTTACGGATACAATGCAGCTGATGCAGGACATTCATCTCAGCTTGCTGCCAGGGGAGGCACCGGTAGCACAGCAATGTCCTCTTGATCGAGGCGCCTCCCAGCACATGTTTGTCAGCGCTGCATCGGTCATTCGCATGCAGGATCTCGAGTATCCGCGGCACCGCACTGCACGTCTGCCACTTCATTGATGCACACATTGGGATGGGCATGTACTCTGCAAGAAGCAACACATGAATGCACTTGTGCAGGATATCTGTGCGCGGCTATGACACGATGCGGCACCTGCAGCAATCGGAGGTTCTTGGTTTACAGCTGGTTTCAGCCAAGCGGCAGCGCGGCCAGCCACGTGAGCTGTCCGAATGCAGCTACAGTGTTTGGCTGCTGTATTCCTGCTAAGTCAATACACAGCCCTTCACACCTCGTAAAAACATGCAACGAAAACCTGCGCACTGCAGTGCCATTTTGCGGGCTTGCTTGGAAGTGGGTTGTTGGGAGTTGCCAGCCTCCTGAATTGCTACGAGTCGACTTTGAAGCCGCAGAGGTCACGGTAACCGCAGTAACCGTTCAGCCTGGTCGCTCGTCAATGAACTGCAGCTCGTTCGGCAAAGCCTGAAAAACATTTGGCCCTTGTTCTCTGTTGTGGAACGTGGCATGTACAATCATTATGATTGTGAAATTTTCCAACGAATATAATCTCGAATATTTCTTATTCGAATTATGTTCAAAATTGTAAGAGGAATCTGTCATGAAAATTGCTCCCGCAGCCAGGCACTCTTTTCATCCAAAGGGGATTGCCACGAGTCCTTGCTGTCACAACGGCTAGGGACTAGGCCCAAGTAGTATATACAGGGTGGGTTGGGTGGGTCAAAAACTACACAGCAAGAAAACTTTCTTGCTGTCCGACCCTCCCTCCGCTTGAGGCGAGTGAGGGATATACAAAGGTTTCACATGTTCAACAGCAAAGTGTTGCAACATGAAAATGCGAAAGCTAAAAACCGGGCTT